AAGTAGGTTAACCCGGTAAAAAGTTCTAATGTAAATGCCGTTCTATATTAATTTGCGATACCCTTGATAGACAGAGGGTCTACAATCTGAAACGGACCGAGCCTTACTCGGCCAAAGTCTTTCGCCACCACCCACTGTATAAAACCAGTACGGCTGCTACAACAAGAATATTAAACAAATAAAATAGAATTTGACAGGCAGAGAGCTTAAAGATTTGTATCACAATTGTTTGTCTATTTAAAATGTTTCTGATGGAGGAGAAAATAAATCATATTTTATAAAGACCAATTCCAAATACAGCCCTATTTTGAAGACATCCGATATTGTCGGTTGCATTGACATACTTGAATTTGACCACAAAATAAGTCTGATAGACTGAGGGTGAAAACAGTATATAATGGGCGAAAACCCCTGTTTTTGGATACGATATCATTCTAAATGGTATATCTATAATATAACGGTACACCATGATTTTAAGTATTTTCATTGCTATATTTTCCATCATTTTCTTTTTAAATACATATTTTGAGTTATGCTACATTAAAATATGTAGGATAGAATGGCCAGCTTCGGCAAATTTTTTTTTAGAGCTCTATATCTCAGTACTTATTCGAGAGATATAACAACTTTAAATTGGTATTAGTTAAATATTTTTACAGATTTGTCAAACAATTCAAATCGTGCCGAAGATCCCCTTACCCGGGGTAACTTCGAAATTTTATGCGGCACTAATTGGAATTCAGATCCCCTAAAGGTTCTATTTTGTTTTAATATGCGACTCAATATTTGACTTTTAAAGCTATATATATTTTTTTTTTTTGCAGCCGAACCATATTAAAGGATTAGTTTTAAAGACAAACCCAAAAACATTTAAAGGAAAGAATATAGCACTCTCTACCCCAATGGTACCTTCTATATATATTTTTTAATTTGTTCTATCAATATTCTACAAACATACTATTTTTAATTATTTTTATAAGAATATGTAAAAAAAATATCTTCTTTTTCTACTGCGTCCTTTACTTTTTTCTTAACCTACGAAGTTGAATAAAGACATTATTCCCAATTTACTTAGCCTGTATATTTAAAACGGCGTTTACATTAGAACTTTTTACGGGGTTAACCTACTTTATGAGTATTTATTTGGCATATATACAAGGGAATTGACCATTATAACCCACTGGGTTAACGAAATCCGGTACAATGTAAACATACTATACATACATTTTAATAACTTCAGTGTCTTAATAAACTCGTTATCTTTAGTTGTATCAAATGTCTTTTCAATAACCTTAGATGATGATATTATTCATTGCTATTTTTGAGGTCTATTTATTCTAAGTAGATGCAATATAACATCCCAATTTAGGGTATATATTTATTTTTATATTTTGGGGTAATTTGGCTTTTATTGGACCTAATATATTGATAATTACTAAAACATTTAGAACAATAAAATATTTTATTTCTAAAAGTACCGTACAATGAACACTAATCTATATAGAATTAAAATAATTTCTAAAATGTCGGTTTTACCACTTGGGAACTATATGGAGATGGTAACGTTACTTCAGTTGAGGTTAACCCTTTGTGGCCCAATGTTGCCCACAGGCAACAAAATGTTTTAGAGCTTATATTTAATATACAGCTAGTAGATATATATTATTTGGATTTCATATGTCAAGACCTAATTATGGACGGCACATATCAAAAGAAAAATCAAAAAATGTCTAAATTTTGGTAAAGTTATGAACCTTTTAATATAGAGAAGAGGGTAAATTTGTGTACAGTACTAATTTGTGTATACAGTCCAAATTATTTAAATCGCTTCGTATTCAGATTGTAACAATTCTGCCGTCAGAATTATTTTTGATTCTTGTAAAAATTAATATAGAGAATACTTTGAAGTGATTTTTCTTTCGATTTTGCATTTGGTTTTCAGGATATTGGACTTTAATTTTTCCGAAAAAAAATGTACTGTATCTCCCGAATGGATGTAGCGATGTCAAATTTTGTGCATATCCTATTTAGGAGAGTTGCATTAAATCTGTGAACATAAATTTGTTCTAAGATTGCGGAAAAATATTCGGGGCTAACGATTTCTTAACGCGTCAGCAGCCAAACCTTCAGAGGCTATACCAAAATATGTACTTATTAATTATATTCTCATAGCATACCTAATGTTACACAATTGGATGAATAGCAGTACTGACTGCTCATTTTACGAATATCAGTAGTTGTATTATTCTGTGCAATTCTTACATAGAACACAAAAATATTTTTCGAAAACGTCTTTAGCTTGAACCCCATAGCATAATTATACAATGTGGTCTCATTTGAAAAATTGATAATGGCAAAGAGGGTCGCCATTATCAATTTTATGGAATTCATATATCAATTTCAAGGTTTATTATGAATGAAGCTTGATCAATTTCAAATTTCGTAATTATATATTATTTAAGTTGTAATAATTTAAATTTTAATTCACAAACTTAATACTCAAAGCATATTGTTATAATTTATTGGTCCCTTAGGCTTTTCATAACAAAGTAAAGATTTAATAATAATGGTAATAATAATAATAATAAAATGCAAAATAAATTCAATAGAATTTTATGTATGTCTATTGGCATATTTTCAATAAATTAAACAAAATATATTTTCTAAAGCTGAACACTGCGCTCAAGATTTAATCATGCGCATTGCGCTCAATATTTAATATTTATAAGTTTTAGAGGCAGGGAACTTCAAAATATTTATAAATATAAATTATTTTGCAATTTTTGCCACGGAACACATGTTGTGCGAATATTTCGAAGAAGGATATTCTCATTTAAATTTTGTCAAAGGCAAATTTATGAAAAAATGGAAACATATGACTGCATGAGATTACCTTGCATAATTATGTCATGGGATTGGACCTGAAAAGGTAAACTTAAGTTATCTAGAATATACACATTACTAAATTCTCGGCACTGTCTTTTATGTTAACTAAAAACCAACCATTGATTGATTGATTTCCTACCAAAACACTTGGGTTTTTCATCCTCAGAGGAATAATTCCTTGAATCTGAATTATAAGAAAACAAACACATTGCATTAATATAACTTTCCAATAATAAAATATGTTCCCCTTTTGGTATTAAATGTTATCCTTGCTTCAATTCTGGTACATTGTCATCGACTGGTTAATTACTATTCCATCAGTTTATTCATAAAGATATACCCGTGCCGTATCACCTATTGGGTACATCATCTTCATCTAATGCTACGGCCGCAAAAAATTTCGACACAAACACTTATTACATCGAACATCTCCTCCATCTGATGTCGTCTCATGCCACAAAAAAGAAGTACTAACAACTTTTTAATATGTCAAATAATGATTTGGCAATCCACTGAATTTGTATTTTTTAAATATGTTCATAAAACATATCATTCTAGAGAATGTTCGTCCATTGAAGTTTATTGTATATAAACCTGTTGAAAGAAGAACAAAAATAAATTACAGAATGTTCATGTTTTTGTAATAGTCACATATTACCTATTCTTGTAAGTTCGAAGCTGTTGTTTTGTGTACATCGTTAATAGATTTCTATTTGGCCATAAAGTGAGCATGTTCCTTGTTGGTTGCGATGATCCCTGCTTAGCTGAAGTTCTTTCGATGGTCATCGGCATTCATTCATACTGTAATTCTGAAAGCGCCCTTCAAATTTCCAAATTTTTTTTCCAGAAAAATATATGTATGAGAGAAATCGAAAAAGTTCCACAATTTTTGAACATTTTAATTGTGTCTGTACATATGTATTTAACCATTGTGCGACATTGCTGAAGCAAACATCAAACAGGAGGTACGTACAGTACATTAGCTAGGCATTAACCAATCATTTGTATTGAACAATTCCCAAAACATCGACTAAGAGAGAAATTTTCAATGCCATCTAACTAAGTAAGAAATTAAGTAAGTATATTTGTAGTATTTTGTTTGTTTTTTTTTTATATTTATTCTTACAATTTTTGTAATTCAAAGCCCTCTGGCAAATTATAATAGCGATTACAATAGGCATATTTAAACATGTTTTTTTTTTTCTTTTTCTTTTAAATAAACAAAATCTTCTCCAAAGTCTAAATGAATTAATGGATATATTAATTAATTTAAAATAATATAAAACGATCATACATAAAGTTTTCTATTATTATTAGTTTTTTTTTTTAATTTTTGTTTAATGTTGTTGACAATTCATTGTAAGAATTATATTTTTATATGTATTTCCAATAGAAACTAATCTAATGTTATTATATATATGTATGTATAGAGTTGTTGTTTTTTTTGGGGGGGAGGATATTTGATGGGTTTACATGTGATTAAGGCTATTATAAATTTTGGATATTTGATATTGGTTTGATAATTTGCATTATCTTTAGGTAGAAAGTAAATCAAACTTAACATATAAAAACCCATTTTTATCTAAAAGAAACAATGATTAGGAGGTAAGTCATTTGTTGGTTTATGTTTATGTCTCTGGCTATCTGGGGTACAGCTAAGTTCTTCGGCGTATTTTGTTGTTCTCGTTAGCGCAATTGAGCAGTAGTTGTTTTATTAACATAAATCGAAAATGACAAAAGTCTCAGATTGAAAGCATGAAGAACAATTACCAATAATAGCTTTCTGTTTTATCATCATATAACATCAAATTCGAAATATTTAAATTTGATTATTACAACACTTCGAGGCATTGAACAAATGATATTCAATAAATATATTGATAGTAGAGTGTAAAGATTTCGAATTTTTGAGGATGTATCAGCTAGTATCCAGAGTAATGTCTTAGGACATTATATTGTGGTCTAAAGAATACAATTTAATTGTGTCCTCTGGATTGGAGTTTTTTCATTTCATTTCCACCACACCCACACAAGAAACAAATTGGTGGAATGGATTCCATGATATATGTTGTATGTTTTTTTAGAACAATTGCCAAGATCAATTTTGCTTTTGTTCAGACATCTGCTAGAGCCGATGAATGTTTACCGCCACCAGCATTTTGTTGTTGCTGCTGCTGCAGCTGTTGTTGCTGTTGCTCTTGTTTTCTTCGTTTCTTGCTCCACATTTCGTGACAATCCTGCCACGTTGGCAAAATTGGAGCCGACATCTCTTCGGGTTTGACATTCTTTAACCATTCGGATTTTAGAGCATCTTCAGCCGTTATACGTTTGTCGGGATCTAGCTCCAACATTCTATCAAGCAAATCAAGGGCTGGCGTGGGCATAAATTCAAAATCTTCCCTCAAACGTCTTCGGTATATTCTCTTTTGTCTCAGTGTATTGAATAGGGGTAATTTGATAACATTTGGCCAGACGGCCGGAACAGGAGATCCACAAACCTTGGAAATATTTTCCAACAACACCATTTCATAATTGCCCTGGAACAGTGGTCGCTTCAGGAAAAGCTCTCCCAATATACAACCGCACGACCACACATCAATAGCTGGACCATAACGCTCCTCGCCCAGTAATAGTTCCGGCGGTCGGTACCACAGCGTGATAACTCTGTTTGTGTATGGCCGGTCACGATCATCGGCATTATACAAACGAGCAAGTCCAAAATCGGCAAGTTTCACTTGACCCTTATTGTTCATTAAAATATTGGAACATTTGATGTCCCGATGTAGGAAATTCTTCTTGTGACAGTAATTCAGGCCATCGAGCAGCTGTTTCATTATGCTTGCATTGTTTTCGTCGTTGAAGTCAACCATGCCGGACGCCAAAAGACCCATCAAATCGTGGTCCATATATTCAAATACCAAATAGAAGGAACCCTTGTCTTTGCGGAATTCAAGTGCGTCCTGCTTGTCGGTCACAACCTCGTGTAAATTGACTATCTTGGGATGGTTTAGCTGTCGCAGAATTTTTATTTCACGAACTGCTGTAATGGGAAAGCCCTCCTTTTCATGGTCCATTCGTACTTTTTTCAGAGCAACCATCTCTTTTGTGATGTTGTCGCGTGCCTTGTACACCTGGCCGTATGTACCTTCGCCGATTTGCGCAATCATTTCGAAAACATCGACACAACGCTCGCCCCAGTCTCGAACATTGTTGCGCGAATCTCTTCGGTTGAGAATAACCGGTCGCTTTCGTTTCGTGTTGTTTTCAGCTTTTTGGGATTTATCGTTTCGACCTGCTTGCGGTTCGCTGCTGGTATTGTTATTTCCTAAATTATCAAAGTCTTCGGGACTGTTTATGAGTTCGTCGTCACCACTGAGATCCTCGCCGCCGGGAACCATTGGAGGCATTGGCAAATTGAGTAAGCTTTTGTTGGCTGGTGCGGCGGCTGCAGGTGTTGTCGCTGCTTTCTTATTTGCATTTGTTGCGGCAGCATGCTTAGCACTTTGTAACTGACGACTAGGTGGAGATGGTGTTGTGGGCACCGCCAAATCTGCAGCCGTTGTTCCTGGTGGCATCGGCAACGCAGTCAGACTCTTGGGTTTGCTCGGTTTAACGGCAACGGCAACGTCTTGTTCTTGTTTCGATTGGCTTTTTGCTCGATCTGTTTCATCAGTGCCATTTGGACTGAACAATTGTGGCATTGGAATGTTCTTTATGTCCACTGCAGTCTTTTTAACTCCATCATTTGATACCGGCGCACTCGCTGATGCATTTGATGCGATTATTGGTTGTTGAGTCGGCTTAGAAGAACCCTCGTCACCAATTGTGATTTCATTGGTAGCTGACTTGGTCTGATTGCTGTCCATGGACGAGCTGTTATCGTTTACTACCATTGCCCCGTTACTGTTGCTATTCTCTTCTTGTTTTTCGATGATCTCCTGCAGGGCCTTTTGGCGTTTGTGTTTGTCTTTTACCAGTTCCGCAAAGAGACTTGTTTCACTTATCTTTTTGCTATAGTCAATGCGTTTCTGTTTCAAATCACGCGGTGATCTTGAACGACTTCTTGACGGGCTACCGCCAGAATGACTGGAACGAGATCGCCGATACCTTGACGATGAACGGCGAGAACGATGGTAATGATGAGAAACGCTGGTCGGAGAGTGAGAGGGAGATTTGGCATATCTGGAAGGTCTGGGGGAACGGGATCGTGAAGCGTAACGGTCACTACGTTTCGATGACTTAGAGCGTCCTGGTGACGGTGAGGCTGGATACTTGTATTTATAAGTACTATCTCGATATGTCGTGGATGGAACTGGGGACGACTGTCTTCCCTTGCCCCCTGGAAAACTGGGGCTTCTTGTAAAACGCCTTCCGTAACGATCGTAGTCAACTGTTCGCTTACTTCGTGAACTACTTGATTTGTGATGACTTCGATCGTAATATGATGACGAGGACGTTCGACTCTCGTGCATTTTTCTTTTCTTATGCGGAGGTGTCGATGGTTGATGGTGATAGTAGCTATCTGTGTCTTTATATTTATGGCTGTCGGAAACAGCAGCACCGGATGGCTGTCGCGGATGATAGTGCGAACCGCTAGAACTTATAGATGCATCATGTTCGTGGTGGTGATGATGATGCCGATGGTCGTCTTTACTCGGACTCAAAACATAACGGGCACTTCGAGAATCACGATTTCCTATAGAGCCAGCGCCCGAATATAGAGGGGGAGTGTGCGGAGAATGAGCACTTGGAAAGCGGCTTTTGGTTCCAGAGGAACGAGTCGGTGTACGATGGCGAGAACTAGAGATGCGATTGGTAACTGTTACTTGCAAGCCTACGACATTGTTTGCAGTACCAACTGCCGAAGACCCTGCACCACTGACTCCCGTTGCAGCCAGATTTACAGATTTTGAATAGTAATTATGACCGCTGTCGGAACGTATTGGCGGAGGCGTTTCAGTCGTATGTGGGCTGCGTTGCTTTTCAGGTGTATATGTGGGACTTTTCGCAGATGCGGCACTTACCGGAGGCGGTGTGTAGTGTCTTAGTGAAACTGAGGAATCCAGTACATCATCAAGATCATTATCGGATATTGATTCAATGCTTGAGAAAGACTTGGCTCGCTTCTTTTTGCGTTTCTTTGATTTGCGACTTCTCTTGTGTTTCTTGTCTTTTTTCAACTTTTTTCTTTTTTGTCGCTTCATTTCAGCTTCCAATTCATCTGTGTCAATTGTTCCGCTCGATAGGAATTGCTCTAAACCAACATCCCAGTCAGATTCCTCAGCTGGATTCTTCTGTGGTATGTGCACTACAGATGGGCTAGACAGAACTGATGAGCTTCTGAGACTTGTTTCACAAAGATCGATTTGCTCTTCAACAGTCTTGTCCAAGTCTTTACCCATTTTGTGTTTATCGGCAACGCTAGGTTTGGCTGCCGTTCTCACAGGTGAGCCAAGAATTATTCGTCTCACATGATTGGGTGAAAGTTTCGTTGAGTTTTCAAAACTCTCTTTTCGATTACCCCTGTATGTGTCTTCATCGCTACTTATGTAAACATCCTGCTGCGCATCCCTTTTTTGGGAAGGCACCTCGTTTGTCTTTGGACAATTTTCAATTTCTGGATCCGAATACTCTGACGAACTAACATCCGAGTACTCCACAATATTCGAAGAGCCCTTGTTTTCTGTCTTTTTGCTTTGGTCCTTGTGATTTGAATCGCTGCCGCTCTGGACTTCAATTTCATCTGCCGAGTTCATTTTAATGCCCCTTTTTTAGCGATGTCCCAGACTTTCCGAAACCCCTTTAGTTAGTAGTTAATGTAACAAATTGTTAACATGAATATTGTGCCCGTTTTATTTCGAATTGATATTTACTCCACTCCAGAAATTGTGGTTTTCAAGTAGTGAACAAAACTCCATTCCCTTGTTATCGTGTGCGGCAGTAATAGTAGTAGTAAAGTGTGCATATTAGGAATGTTCATCCATTCAAATGAATGAAATGAGGAATACGCAATAAAGCAATGATGATTTCGATTCTTTTTTTTATAATTTCGAATCTTATAGAGTTGAATTAATATACTTTTTCTTAAAGGATATTTATAGATATGTTCCTCAGGAGCTGGAGAAAATAATAAAAACAGTTACTTGAATATGGTTGAAATAAGTTAACACTTATTGTATGAAGCAGTTTTATAATTAATTTAAAGTAAGGCTCAAAAAACAACTGAGTCAGCAAAGACAGGACACACGCCAAATTCAATTAAATATATGTGATTCAATTTTAAAAAATATGGGTATTCCAATACTCAACTATAACTATCAAACTAGGGATATAGTACTGATTTGTTTCGTTACAACTGTGTTGGTTCTATACCGTATACTAGGTCTTGGTATATTACACGTCTCATTAGATTAGAATAAAATGCTGCTGCAACATTCAATTATTACGCTGAAAGTGTGATGCCAAAAATGTTGTCTAATTTATCAGTCATGCGGTTGTGATTCGAAGATATTCCATACCAACTGTTTTGGCTTGGATTACCCAGTTCATTATATGTGTGCTATGTTTTACAATATTACGATCAATTACATTTCGATACAAATACATATTTGTCTTGTTCTTCTTAACTCTTCATTCTCGTCGTATTATGTGTGTTTCTTGCTCTCTGTTCTTTTTGGCTCATTAAACATTATTGTTATTATTTATCTTGAAATAATAGAATATTAAACATAAATTACCTAATGTGAAATAAGAAAATAATAAATAAACCTCGTATTGGCTTTCTTTTCTTTTTTGAAATGCCTAAATATTAGATTGAAAGCTTTTTAATGAAAAATAAACATAAAGCTCTTGGAACACCGACTTTCACACCGTCTTTAGATAAATACTGTTAGAGGAACACGAATCTGAAAAAGAGAAGAAAATATATAAAAAGCATTTAGAAAATTGGAAAAAAAATATTTGAGAATGTATAAACTTATTTTATTAAAAAATAATTTATTATTTATTAAAAAATACTCAAGTATTTGTTTTACATTACATTAGATTCTAAAATAAGTTATAGATTTCTAAATCGACAAATGTAACAAAATGTATTATTTTATTCACGATCAGCTGGACTATGTACTCAACGTTGAAGTGTCGTCCAATTTATCGGAATATGATATGATAAATATAAGTCCAAATATAAAATTATACATCGAGATTCGATACAAACAGTTATATTTTCCAGAACTGTTTGTATCGAACCTTTCCCCATTATTAATAAATATTCATTTTATTTTAGAGTATACTTCAAATTGTAAATATTGAATTCGTACTCTCCTAAATAGGAAGCACATTTAACAACGATAAAATATTGGTTATATGAAAGAAATAAATTAAAGCTTTCCAAAAGAACTGTATAACTACCATGCTATTGAACAGAACAACTTACGCACGTATAACGATGAATTCTACAAGGTAAAAATAAACAACAAAAGTCATATTCACATCATGAACAAAAGTATTAAAGCGGCAAGTCAATATCAACATCAGAGACAGGATGTTGTCAATCCACTAACCTCCTCCAAGTACGTCGAGCTATAAGCTATAACCAAATTAATGCATGATATGCAATTCTGAATTGATCCGAAACGAAAAAGGTTCGACTCGCCCACTCATGGACATATGTTGAGAGGCAAGGGCAATGATTGTTGTAGTGACCCAATGGTTGTAAAAACAAGTGCTGTGTTTGTTGGCTCTCGAAAATTTTGTCTGAACATATAGAAATAATTGTCGACATTCAAACTGTCAATGTTTAAGGCATATTATCTTCTAACTCGTCTAAAAGTACTTTAAATTATGATTTCGCATCGTATAGATCGTCCTGATGAAACTTTCATGACTTTTCGAGGTAATCACTACTCAATCGAAAACCATTTGATAGTCCTAAAACTATTACAAGGTGGCTTTCTCAATAGAATGGATATAGGAACCCAAAAAAAATCTTCTTTTCATCGCATCTCTGGTTGAGCAACAGGATCGCTAGACGCCAGTATCGGTTTCTGGGCTTTCTGTTTCGAGACGATGGGTTTGTCTCTCACCATACCCTTATCACTCTTGTCAGGATCGACACTACCGACGCGTACTTTTGTGCATCTAACGACTGTGTGTGTCTCTTAGCAGCAGGTTGTTGCTCATCCGAGCACCTAATTCTATTCACAGCCGTGGAAGAATTTGCTCCTGTCGGAGAGGCTGACCCAGCAATATCAAGCACCTTTGGTTTATCCGCCAACAACTGCCCCATTTTCATAACCTTGGATTTCAGTTTCGACATTTAAGCTTTATAAGCTTTTCTGGAAGCGTTTTTACAACCCTCTTTAGGGCTAAGTATAAGGATATGTCGATGACAGATCCTTACACTCAGTTGCAGTGGATGATGGCGTCAGCGCTCAGGTTTCCCATTGGGATGTTGAAGGCACAGAAGTCCTAGCCGAACGTATGGTGTTCTACAGATCTGCAGGTTGCATGGTTATAGTGAAAAACGAAAGAGGGTTGGTTTTCCAATTTGATGTAGGAGATTTTGTAGTGATTCGGAATGTGGACAACACTAGAGGGATAAAGAAGAATTTTTTGCCGAAATTAAAGGGACCTTCATCCATCCACTTCGACGGCCAGCTGTCTCAGAAGTCTCGAGACTTCACTACAAGCCGGGGAGATGAAATTAGAATCCTCTTCCTCACCAGGATTTACGTCATTATCTCAGAGGACTCACCTTGATTTGAAGGAGTCACCAGGATAGCTATTGTATTTGTCACTGGAGTGCTAATCACAATTACAGTAGTATTCATGACGACTTCCTCGTCTGTCAAGGATGAGTTGTCCCAAAGTTGATTGGGGATACTCTCCATTGAAGAAAGATCTTATGAGGATTTGACGTCGGCCATGGCATAGCCCCAACTTATGAATATTTTTATTTGGGAAAAAGTTCTTAAATACACAGCCAAAGACCATCTATTTAGAAAACGTCTTAATTTAAAGGGAATTTTCTGAAATCGACGTTTGGAAGGAATTTAATAAAAAGGAATCAACGTGGAAGTACAATGTGCTGCACGCTTTACTTCCTTCAAACTTATGACAATATGCATTTTCGGAATTTCAGAGTCCCATAGGACGCCATAATAGGTCGGTATTCGTAATAATAGGTCTCACAAAATAATATAAAAATAAAAAATATAAAGAATTAAGAGTGGAATGGTTTAATAATCCTATCCACAATGCCGTAGATTGTTTAAAATCAATTGTCGAATTCAAAGATATCCGTTAAACTGTATGATATTTGTATATTCTGTCTGCTTATACAGCAGGTGTCAAATAAAGTTCATAATTTTATTGGCATATTGACTAAAAGGTTTCTCGCTCGTGATATTGAGGGTTGGGGTACCCTCTCGAAACATAAAGATAATTTTTGGGTAAGGAGATTTTCTATGTGAATCAAAATTACTGTATTACAGAAAACTGGAAAGCCTACCCAAACTTTCGAAAATATAGAAATTTTGGAGGTACCGTTATAAGGGAGCTACGTAAAAAAAGTGGACCGGTATTGACCAAATTAAAGAAAATTCGTTTGAGGAAGTGTCCAAGTCTTCAAAATGCCGAATATATCCCATATTAAATATCAAAATTTTAAACAATATTTTTCAGTAGCAGCAATATTTGTGCTCTATTTTAGGTCTTCTGAGCTTTATCGTGAAATCAACAAACGGACAGACAGAAGGAAATGCCTTAATCGACATAGAGTTTTTTGCCATCATTTCCATTTTATGCCCAGATTTTCGCTTCTATTATTAAGGAATGAGTATGTGTTTTAAATATATTAACCTAATTGAAAATGTTTACATTTTCCCGAGAAACTATGTACCTCATCTTGACACCTGCTGTATAAGCGTATCAACAAATAAGACTGGAATCCCTATTAGCATAAATATTATATATGTAGGTCATATTATGCACTTCTTGATATATTGATCAACTCACAATTGCAACCGGCCAATATATTCAGAAATACAAATAACAAAAAATACCCAATACGTTTAAGTCAAAACAACATCAATAACAGCATATACCACGTTGCTGAGTACGTACAGTTGTTTATGAATGAGAAAGTTGCACCCCCTTCGATATTAACAACAACAACAAATAATTGAAGATTTATGACAATCTAAAATATATTATACATTTTGTTGTAATCAATATCTAAGAGGCATGCAACAAAACCTCCCAATGAATGTTTTGGTACAATGTTTCTAGAAGCTTATCTGTACAATGCATTACTGCTACAATTGTTGTACTTTTCAGTAGAATTCCCTCGATAAGGGCGACAATCAAATTAGAAGCTACCTCGAAGTACACATATCACCTTAAACGTTTTAATGAAACTACCTGTTTCCAAAATTTAACAACTTCCATGTAATACATTCGACACCCATCTAACGAAAATTGTTGAATATACATAGTACACTTCATGGAAATTTGTGTTCTAATGTTGGTTTTGCAAAATCATAGTAGTTGGGATGGATGGATGTGCGTGAGGTCGTCGTCGTGTATGTTGTTCTGTATGCCTTTTTCGATGCGAATGAAATTCAATCTTGCAGTACAAAGTGTAAACAATAATACTTACATAGAGTATTAGAACTTTCCATTAACTTGTAAATTGTTTATTTTATTTGTAATTTTAATCACACTTTACTTAAAAAACTTGCGTGCTGCTCGAAAA